TACACCTGCTTCCCTTTAAATGACAGGGAATGAATCATGTGATCCACCCTAAAAAGATTTCCAGTTATCTGGAAAAGCCCCTTACTCGAGGCCCGGTATTGTAGCTCAGTTGATAAAATATTTGCCTAGCATGCATTAAACCCCGGGTTAGATTCCCAGCATCATGCATAAATGTAGGTATGGTGGTGCAGTCCTGTAATCCTAGCGTTTGGAAGGCAGAGGTAGGAAGATCAGAAGGTCAATGTCATCCTAGGCTATGTAGTGAGTTTGTGGCCAACCTGAGCTACAGGAGACCCTGCCTCTAAATAAATAAACATATATTATATAAATGAACTGTCAGATCAATGATATCTATTTTAAAAGAAAAAGAAAAGCGCCTCACTACAAACTCTTCTCATAGTGCGTCCTGGATGACTGAGGTCTATGACTGTAGTGGTGGGGGAATCCATACATGGACCCCGAGTCTGGGACACAGAGTAAAGTGTGTCCTGCCAAGTTCCCAGATGTGTCAATGATGGGTGAAAGCAGGAAGGACTGCTCTCGCCAACTAACCTAACAAGTCCAGGCAGATCATGGGCGCTGAATAAACTGTAGCTCTTGTCAGCCCAGGGCTTCACCTCACCTCAGAACCCTAAGTTTAAGCTCCGTGAGAGCAAAGCCTCAGCTTTCTTCCCAGGGGACTCTCTAAGGTGACATACTGTTATAGCCTGAGATTCACACTGTCGATTGGACAAAGACCTCCAATGCCACACTGACTCCAACTTGAGTCCTCACCTTGGGGTCATTTCCTGTTGTCTGCTGAATTCACTCAGCATGGACCGGGCAGGACAGCAGCAGGCACTGGGAACAAGGCAGGAAACGCTGTCCTTAATATCTCTGAAATCCGAGCTTAGGAACTTTGTGATGGTGGCTGGGCTGGTGAAGCTGTGGCCAGAGGTTCTCTGCCATTGATCACGCCCCATAGAGACGAGGTGACCCCCCCCCAGCTTCTTCTTATTTCCGGGGAGTGTCTGCTGTGCCTGGCCCACGGAGATGGCTCAGGTGCGACGGTGTGAGGGTGAAATCGGGTTCCTGTAAGTCACTGGCACCAGAGGAGTCCCCATTCTGGTCTGTGCTCTAAGACCTGCTACACTGGTTTCTGCAGAGTGTTTCACCCACACAAGTCAAGCAATTATGGAAGCATTGGGTATTTTGTGTATTTGTTCCTAGGGTAAAGCCCTGTGAATGCAGGAGTTTGCTTTAGCCATTTGTCCTGAACACCAAACAGAAATGTAGCCACCTCCAAACTTTCTCCCAACACTGTCTACAGAACCACACATACAAACAGTCACATGTGTACAAAGCACACACATGAACACATACCTACACATATGCAACAGACATTCAAATGCACATATAAATACATGTGTACACATAACGCACATACATACATGTGCATATATATGCCCATCTACATATGCGAGTACACAAACACACATGCTTGTGCACAAGTATGCTGACATGCACACACAGCCTTTGCACCAGACTGTTCTGCGGTTGCCTACTCTCTCTTCCTGCCCTCAGGGACTGGTCCAGCAGCCTCGGGGAGGTTTTTATCTCTCCTCTGGCACTTGCAGCTGTCTTCAGCCAGCCTTGATTGAAGGCCCTCCTTCAAATTCAGGATCATAGTCATTCTTACTTGGAAAGGTCCATGTTTCCATGACAGGATAGGCCGAGAGGGAGCATGAGAGCAGACATGTCCTATAGAGTCTATCTCTCAACCCGATCCAAGCCTGCTCCAGGCTCTCCCTCTGCTAAGCGCAGCTTTTCTTCTCCTTTCTCACCTGGATCCAGATGCCTGGTACCAGCAAACCTCAGCCTAGCCTGATTGTTCAGCCTCAGCTCTCCGGAGCCTTTAACACCTGCCCTGTGTCACTTACCAGCTCCAGGGCCAGCCACTGCGCCTGTGAATAGATCGGCTTCCATCTCCCCTTCTCTTGCTGATCTGCCTAAGTTTCTGTCTCAAGTGTCCCTCAGCTGTGGGACAGGGAGCAAATGGCTAGGCTCCTTAGCCTTCAGTTACCCGAGAATGAACAGTATCCATTAGTCCTTTACCACACAGGCAGCCTCATGGGAGGTACAAGCATCTTCACTACAGGCACCCATGAAACTGGCATCGCTCGATCTCCATTGCCCCCTCCCATCATTTCCTCCACAGAGCCGGGCTGGGCTGTGTACCGCAGCTGTGTATTAAACCAGCTGATGAAGGAGGCGCTTGATCAAGCTGGACTAGGCTTTAGCAGCAAATGCCATGTTGTCCCCTTTCTCAACCTCTAGTTTGACTCTGTTAACACCCTGTGGTGTGGGTCACTCATGAATGGCTGTCCCTGATGACTTCCTCCTTTGGAAGCTGAGCCATGTAGCCGACTGCTCACTTACTGGTGCAGGAAACTGGGTGGAAAGGATTAAAGAAATCATTTCAGTGTTTGTATGGCTATGCATGGCCTCTGAGAGGAAACAGGGCCTCCGTGGCAGAGGGAGGAGGGAGAGGCACTCGGTCAGGTGTCCCGGACACTCCATCCATTCAAATAGAATATGTGGAATGTGAGTGTCACATAATGGTCACTTGTCTGTGTCATGGCATCACTCAGATTCTTTTTGGTGGCACTGGGGATTGAAGTCAGAGCCCTGTGAAAGCTAGGCAGGCACTCTACCACTGACCTATATCCCCAGCCCACCTAGATTACTAGAACCCTTCCTTCCCACCTCCCTCCCTCCCTCCCTCCCTCCTTTCCTCCCTCCTTCCTTCCTTCCTCTCCTCCCCTCCCTCTCTTCCCTCCATCCTTTCCTTCCTCCATCCCTCCCTCTTTCCCTTCTTCCTTCCTTCCTTCCTTCCTCTCCTCCCCTCCCTCTCTTCCCTCCATCCTTTCCTTCCTCCCTCCCTCTTTCCCTCCCTCCCTCCCTCCTTTCTTCCTTCCTTCCTCTCCTCCCCTCCCTCTCTTTCCTCCCTCTCTTCTTTTCTCTCTCTTTCCTTCCCTTCCTCCTTCCCATCCTTCCCTTCCTCCCTCTCTCCCTCCCTCCCTTCCCTTCCTCCATTCTTCCTTCCTCTCTCTCTCCCTCCCTCCCTCCCTCTTTTTCTTCTTTCTGTGTGTATGTGGTGTATGTGTGTGCACATGTGTGCTCATGTGTGTCGAGGCTCGAGGTTGATGTCAGGTGCCTCCTTGATTGTTCACTTTCGTTTTTTGAGACATGGTCTCCTAGTGAACCCACTGCTCACTAGTTTGGTAGACTAGCTGGCTAGCAAGCTCTGGGAATCCTTTTGTCACTACCTCTCCAGCATTGGGATTATAAACCCATGCCTGGCCTTTTACATGGGTGCTGGAGATCCAAACCCAGGTCTTCATGCTTACTTGGAAAGTACCAACTGAGTCATCTTCCTAGCCCCATAAGATTCCTTTCTGAATGAAGTTCCCATTTTATATGCTATTGGTTAGATGTTTAAAGTTTGCTACCATTCAGAGCTTTGGCCTGTTTGACTTATCTGCAACCTCAAGGTAGAAGCAATTCATTTTTTTTTTCTGGCTCAACCAAGAGAGCTCAACAGAGAGCAAGTTCCCCATTCAAGCAGATATTGCCTTGAGCGTTATATAAGGGTGAGCCAGCTTGTCCCTGAACCTGAGTTGTATCATAAAGTAGCAACATCTTCTATTGATCTGAACTTTATGCTTTGGTTTTAAGTAATCTCCTTAGATACAGTAGATGTATCACCCTTGTTTATAGACGACAATATTGGGACATAATTTATCATCAGCAATGGAGCTGGAACCAGGAACGCCAAATCTCCTAAAATTGCATGCAAAGTATTACTAATATCAGAGGGACATAAGACAATAGTAATTAAGTTTTTGGATTTTAATCACAGGCCCCGCTAATAAGATGAGAAAAGGAAATATTAAAATAGATTTATATTTTCAAATATTAAAAAAAACAAAGGTACTGAATTGAAGCTAGTTATTAAAAGCTCCGCCTTTCCTGTGTCTCTTACCAAGCAGGATGAGTCCTTGCTCCGGTGTCCAGGTTGGAATGACATTCTCCACCCAAAACTGGTTGTCTGCATCATTAAGAAATTGGTTGCTTAATATTTATTGAGGCCTCTGTATTTTTCCAGCACAAAGATGAGATAGTTAACCTTCTTCAAGATGTTTTGAGAAAAAGAATTAGATAACTGGAACTTTTCCCTTTTTGTCTCTTTTGACATCTGAGGGCCCCTGGACTCCCTTGGCGGTGTGTGTGTGTGTGTGTGTGTGTGTGTGTGTGTGTGTGTGTGTAGTGCCAAAGGCTCTGGGGGTATTTGTTGCACCTCGGAGATGGGAAAGAATGGTTGGTCCATTTGACTAGTTGAACCGGAAATAGGTAGAATTTGTCAAGTTTCTCAGGAGGAGAGTAAAGAAGTTTGTTCCTTAAGGTCCAGACAAGGGAGGTGGAAAGGAAACTCCGAGATCAAAAGGGAACTAGCTTGAGAAAGCCATTTTGCTCACCCTGTGACAAACATCCACTCATACGTGTCGATCTCATTATTAGAAAGACCCAGGGACTACCCTGAAAGGGTGGCAGTCTAGGTCCAAATCCTATTGCTCCATGGGCAGGGATGGGTTTGCTTCCAGAAGGTAGACTACACAGAAGGTTCTGAATGGGGATGTGGATCCCAGATGGGCTCGTATGTATGCTTAAGGCTGATTCAGGAAAACCCTAGGGAGGCCAAGCTCCCATTGATGCTATCCTATCCTGGACTGGACTTCGCTGGCACACGTTGTATTCCAGTCCTCAAACACTGCTCAGACAGGATTCTACAACCTCAGTTGGTTCTCCCCTGTGAATAGAACGAATGCCTTTCGGCTCCAAGGAGCTCTGCCTAGAGAACCTTGGACTTAACCAAGGAATTGTAGGACTCAATAGGGGAGAGAAAAAAACCTTTCTTTTCACCTCTGAAATAATACTTCACATGTTTGTTTTATAAACAGTGTCTCCGCAGAGGCTATGGATCGGAACGTAACCCAACTGCTTACTTTCTGGATGCTAAAGGCAGACAGCCCCATCCTCTACTCCCACCCTGGACTGCAAGTGTGAAGAAGGCCATGGCTAAAGCCAGACAGGCTCAGTGATTCTGCCATCCCCCTTCCATCAACCCCATACTTAGGGCAAGAGCAGATAGGGGCACCCGACCAGCTCTGATTCCCACTAGGGACTGTTGAGCCCCTCTCTAGCCAGTCTTTGTGCAGTTCGGGAAGCTATCTCCATCCCATTGATTTGGTCAAGGTCTCTATGAAAATCAGCTACAAGGGGATGTGTTATTCTGGGCAGATGTTCCTGCAATGGGATGGTCTGCCATTGGGGTTAGGGGAGGCTAGTAGGCTCTGTCCCATTCCTCCCATGCCAGTTCCCACCAATTTCCTTAGGGACCCTCCCATTCCATTCCAATTCCTGCATTTCTTGTCTGCAGCTAGTCTGTCCCTCCCTGGGAGGAGGATCTTGCCTGAGGGCGGATAGAGGGTGGGGAGCTTTCCTCCTCCCTTTGCTCCAATTGCAGAAAAGGACGGGGTTCCCATGCCAGGGCAAGGCTATCTGCAGCTCAGTCCACCAGTAGACACAGCCCGAGATCCCAGCAGCCACTCTGAGCTCTGGACTACAAGCCCGAGAACAGTAGATTGACCTCTGGTTGACAGCAAGCTTAGAAGCTCTGAGAGGTGCAGGAACACAGTCATGGCCCACGGGTTTACTAAAGAGCAGGTGGATGAGTTCCACACAGCCTTCTCTAGATTTGACAAAAATGGGGATGGCCACATCAACGTCCAGGAGCTGGGCGATGTGATGAAGCAGCTGAACAAGAACCTCTCAGAGGAAGAGCTGAAGGAGCTCATCTCCAGGGTAGACACAGATGGTGATGGCACCATCAGCTTTGATGAGTTCCTGGCAGCGATGGCCAAGTATGCAAGTGGTGGGATCGCTGAGAAGGAGCTGCGGGCTGTCTTCAGCGTCTTTGACCAGAACGGTGATGGACACATCAGTGTGGACGAGCTCAAGCAGGCCATGACCCAGCTGGGGGAGAAGCTGTCACAGGAGGAGCTGGATGCCATGATCCGTGAGGCTGATGTGGACAAGGATGGGAAGGTGAACTATGAGGAGTTTGTGCGCATCCTCAGTGAGAAGTGAGGCTCCCGGGGTGCCGGCCCCACCCTATCTATGCCTGCCCGACTCTGGTCTGCCAGGTTCTTGTGCCTTCTTGGGGACCTCTGCTTTTGTGGTGGGGCTATAAAGGAAAAATCTGTGTTGGTGTATGGGAAACTACCTCACGAATGAGGAAGACTTTGCAGTACTGGTCCTGGATGCTGTGCCATCTTGGGCTGTTCACTAGTGCCTTCTCTGCCCTCTGAGACTTTGGGCAAAAGATGGTCTCCTTGGGCTGGTGCCCTGTCATCCCCCTGCAGTAGAATGGGTGCTTCCTACCCCCCAGGTTCTTATGTCGGCTTAAATAAAAGGAATTCAAATTCCATCTGTGTGCTTGGTGTTTGATTAAAAGGAAATTCCAAGGGCCTCCAAAAAGACATTTAGGATTCTTTTGTGCCTCAATTCCTTTTTACGGTACTGGTAGGAGAACTGTAGGTCCCTTGCTCTACCTCTTGCCTCCCCTGAAGCCCAAGAAGGAAAGGTAAGTGGTAGTACGTACTGTAGGGCGGGAAGATCGGGGAAGCAGGCGTCTGGATCTAAGGTCTGCTTGAACTGCAGGTGTCAGAGCCTGGTCTGGGATAGGTAGCACCGAACTCCATTCCCACCAAGGAAAGACATCCTCCTCCTTACACAGCCTGCTGTGCTCAAATAAAAAGGGTGAGAAGTGCCTCTGTGTTTGTGTGTCTATCTAGTCTGTGCCTCTGTGTAGTTCCCTGCCTGTCCCTGTGTATCGTGTGTGTGTCTATACCAGCCCAGCCCATGTGTATCTACATGAGTATATGTGTGTGTGCCTGTATGTGTGAATATGTGTCCATGTAGACATATGCATGTGCTCCTGTGTGTATCTATGTGTATATATATGTGTGTGTGTGTGTCTGTGTGTCTATATGTGTGCATGTATTTTGTATCTGAAATATAACACCCTACATTTATTTTTAAAAGGTGTGGCCCTTGCAGTGAAATCCACTTTTCAAAAACTGAAGGCAGGAAGCCCACTGAGAAGTGGTCAGGGTTCAGATATGGTAAACAAAGGAAGAGAGGCACTGCAGTCGCATGCCTGGGGGAGAGTGGGCCATTTCCTGTCCCCAGAGGACTCCAACTCTACTGCCCTGCAGTTCTGACTGTGGCTCCCTTATGGCCTTGCAAGATTCTGATGTTCCTTTCAAGGATTCAGCCTGAGGGCTTCATCCCAGACAGGGGAGAAGATGGAAAATGGAGAAGAAAGAGGTCTTCAGGGACTGTCCCATCTACTTTGACTGTAAGCAAAGTCACTATTGAACATGGGGGGAGATACCACTGTCATTTGGAACATTAGACTAATAAGTTGCTGGTGGTTTAGCAAGCCTGGGCTTCTGCTTCCTCCTCCATGAAATGGGATTTTTTAAATGTTTTTGTCAGAGCGGAACTGAAACTCAAATCAGTACTGATCACAGCTCTTATGTCTCCCAGCTGTGCCAAGTCAGTGGCTCTCATCCAGGTGGAGACAGAGGCAGAGCCATCTTCCCTGGGGAGCTATTGCAAAACACGTGGTCCCAGCCTATCCCACTGCCCCCTCATTCTGGCACACCTGTGGTGGGCACGCACCTGTAGTGAGCATGCACCTGTGGTGGTGAGTGGCAGAGCCTGTCTGCTTTACCCCAGCTTGAGCACAGAGCTAAATGGACTGAGGCGCTGTTCAAGTTCACTGATATAGGGTTGCTGCCACATCTGTGAGCTTTTTCTTTTCTTTCCTCCCCTAATGAGCTGACTCTGGGGTCACTCCAGTTTCTTTGGTCCTTATACATTACTACCTTGTCCCTCCTTACTCTGTCATCAGAGTCTGGCCCCTGTTGACACCTTTTAGCCTGCTGGGTGGAGACCTGGGATTCGGGGGAGGGAAGGGCCCAAGGCTGGGGCTGGGTGGTGGTGGGTGGGGTGGGTAGGAAAGGTAAGGAAACAGACTCCAGGCTTCTCCTTCCCTGCTTAAAAAGATCATTTAAGATTCATATATGTACATAATGTGTTCTGATCAAGTCTACCTCCATTCCGTCTCTTCCAATTTCTCTCCTATCCCCCCTCCCACCACTTTTCCCTCCCAATATGTGTGCTCTCTCTGTTTAAGAAAAGTACGGAGTCCCTTTAGTGTTGCCTGGTGGGCACCGCTGTGGGACCATCTACTAACGCATGCCCAGCCTCTCAGGGCTTTTACTTCTTTTGTGTGACTCTCTTATATGCACGCGTATAAACTTCTTTTCCTGTTAATCTGTCTTTTGTCAATTTAATCTCTAGATGCCAGTCACTGAAACTGAGTGGGCAAAGTCTATCCCTCTCCTACACAACACAGACTGAAAGATAAGACGTAGAAAGGCAGCGAGAGGACTGTTGATGTAGCTCAGCTGGTAGAGTGCTTGCTTAGCATACACAAAGCCCTGGGTTTGAGCCCCAGCACTGCCTAAATGGGGGGGGGGGTGCATGCCTACAATCCAGCATTCTGGACGGGGAGGAAGAAGGACAGAAGTTCAAGGTCTTTTTGGATATGTACCGAATTGGAAGCCAGCCTAGGCTGCGTAAGACTCTGTCTCAAAACAAAACAAATAAACTAAAAAGAAACTCCTCACAAGCAACCAAAATAAAGCCCAAAACACACGCCCCCGCCCCCAACCCTGAAAAGGCAGGGAAGGAGAAGGAAAAAGCCAGGAGTCATGGTTCAGATTATAACACTAACATTTGGGAAGCTGAGGCAAGAGAGTTGCAAGTGTGAATTCAGCTTGGGCTACAAAGCCAGACTATTTCAAAAACATACAAAAGTGTACAAAGTAGAAATCTCAGACAACTTTCTAAAATTCAAAAAACATTCATTGACGATTCACACATGTGTACAATTCACACACGTGTATAGTGCACTTGGGCCACACTCACCCTCCTCATGTGTTAGCCCGCTCCCATGGGACCTCTTCTTCCCAACGTCTCCCTCCTGCTCTCCTGTCAGACAATTTTCTCTTCAAAGATCATGTGCACAGAATCTAGACAATATCCTGCCTGTTTTCCTTTTGTATTCATTCACATGTATCTACTTGTAAGAGCTGTTTTTCTTTTCTGAGTCTGAAACCCAGGGCCTCCCGCATGCCAGGCAAGTGTTCCACTGCCGAGTCACTAACCCTAACCTTCTTCTCAGAAATGGTATCACTTGGATGCTCTGTAATCTACTTTCCATACAAATTGAATTGTGGACACCTTTTCTTACTCAGAAAATAGTAAAAGCCCATGGTAGAGGCTCATGCCTGTTATCTCGGAACTCTGGAGGTTGAGTCAAACACGTTGTCATGAATTGGAGGCCAGCTTGGGCTACGTAGTGAAGCCTAAGACACTCTGGACTATACAGTGCGATTTTGTCTTGGAAAAAATTTAGGTGTACATCATGGCTTTTAGTGGCTAATCCACTAAACAGTTGTGTCCATCTGAATGAGATGGAGAGATATAAATCCATGACCTGCCACTTGTTGCTGATGTGATCTTGAGCAAATAGCTTTGTTTTTCTGAGACTCGGTTTCCTTACTTGGAAATGAGAAATGATGCCTAGGCCACAGGACACCTCAATGCTAGCCGTTCAATGCAGCAGTGGAGGTCACTCAAAGCCCACTCCCAGGGCAGCCTCACTATGGAGTTAGATTGGCCTGGGTCTTCAGATGAGCCATAGTGAGCACTCCCTGATGTGCCCTTCTGCATGTGGAGTGCCACACAGGCGGCCTAACTCCATCTTTCTCTTGTAGCAGGTGCTAAGTACTAGCAGTGAGTGCTTATGACAAGTCCCTCAATTGCACAATACTACCTTGGGTAGGAAGGTGTTAGTCAGCTTTCAATGACCGTGACAGAATATCCGTGACAGTCAATTTAACGGACTTAATAAAATTGGAAAAGGTTTATTTTGTCTTGTTCAGCTCCTGCTGTCTGGCCACATCCCTGTGGACCTGAGGTTGCATAGTACATCATGGCAAAGTGGCTTGTCTAGCTGCAGGTAGGGACCAAATGAAGAAGAGGAAGGGGAGGGGTTCAGACAGCCCCTTCATATGCACATTCCTAGTGACCTGACTTCCTCCCCCTAAACCCCACCTCTTAAAGGTTTCACCAGCTCCCAGTGGTGCCTTTAGCACAAGGGCCTTTTGTGGGGGGCATTTAAGATCCAAATCATAAGAGGGTAGAAGTGGAATGTGGATAAATCCATGGAGTGAGTTCTGGGTCTCTGGTCCTATTAGCACATATATCATTTCCTAGGACTGAATCTGGATTCCCAGAGCCCCAACCTCCCCTAGCCAGGTAGCCCCCTATATCCACCCCAGGGAGGTAGAAGATCGCTCTGGGCAGGCAAGGTGTTAAAGTGGTTTGCTTGAGACCATTTATTTACACTGACAACCCTATTCCTAAGGAGATCTGTGATGGAACCATAAAAGAAAAGAGCAGAAATCCTTTATCCACTGGGGGGACCAAAAAGGGATCTCAGGATCTAGGAGAGGAAGTGATTCTCTTCAGATCTTAGTGATGTACCAAAAGGGATCTGGACTAAGAGCTTAGAAAAGTGCTGGCAAACCGAGTAAGTCTTCAGGTGCTTCAAGTTGAGGAGGAGGGGTAGTCAGAACTCACAAAACGGAAGGACTAGATGCTCTACGGAACATGTGCAGAAATAGTTTCTGTGTTGGCTCTGACTGGCCTTGAAGGCTCCCAAGAGCAGACTGGAGCGCTACTCTATGGCCTAGGATCACATAACCTATGGGTTCAGAACACTCGGAAAAGTGGATGAAGTCATTCAGGGAAACCCCATTCTCTGAAAGCCAGTTCTATGAGAATTTGATTTGCCGAGGCTAGTTCTGGAAATGGTCAGCTTGAAGTGATTTACTAATGAAAACGATTTAAAGAAATGACAAGGGCCTAGCAATGTAGCTCAGTTGGTAGACTGTTTCCCTGACATGTATGAAGCCCTTGGTTCAATTCTCAGCACCACATAATACCAACTGTGGTGGTTCAAACCTGTAATCTCAGCACTTTCGAGGTAGAGGCAAGAGAATCTAAAGTTTGAGGTCATCCTCAGCTACATAGTGACTTTGAGGCCAGCCTGGGCTATATGAACCCTGTCTCAAAAAAATATTAAAAGACATGATGAAATTCATCTTATAGAAGCTATTTTGACAGTGTTTGTAAATTTCTTTGAAGTTTTATTTATCCAGCTTAAATTTTTAGTGTGAGCTTAGTAAATTATTTTAGCCACAAGTCAGTTCACCTAGTCATTGTGCGTGACCTGACTGAGATTCAACTTCTCTGGGG